TTGGAACTCCAGGGTAGTCCAAATTACCAACTCCTTTGATTTCTCCTTTAGCACCATCTCCAAAGGTCACAAAACTAGTGGTGTGAGGCATAACATTATTGAGGAGATTTTTGAATCCAGTCATGTGTCTGGAACATCCACTGTCAAAGTACCAATCTTCCTTTGCAGAGATCTTCAGGGAAGTGTGTGCTATCAGTGCAGTAGCCTTTTTCTTCCATTGAGGAGCGTGTGGTACCTTTTTAGACTTAGGTTTGACATCTGAGTTCTGATTAGGATATCCATGTAATCTGAAGCAGAAGGGCTTTATGTGACCATATTTCCCACAATGATGACATCTCCATCTTTGGTACCTTTTCTTCATATGTCTCTGTCCCTGATGTTGAGAGTAATGTTGAGACATCCGTTTTGACATTTGCTTCCCGGTACCAAATTTCTTTGTTTCCACAAATCCTAGGCCAGATTTATTTCCCATATTTTGACCAGCCTGAAGGATCTCTTCCAATTTGTCTGTTCCATTGGTCAACATCTTGACAGATTTGGTCATTTGATTCAATTGTGAGTTCAGCAGTTGAACTTCTCCTTCTAAATGACTTATAGTTTCAAGATTTGCCCTCTTTTCAGCTTCCAGCTTTACAATGAGTTTTGATTGTTTCTCATTTTGCACACAGACTTCACCACTTCTGATACACAATTTCTTGTAGGTATCAGCCAGTTCTTCAAATGTTACTTCTTCATCACTGGTGTCACTTTCAGAAGTACAAACACTAGTTAGGGCAGTAACTAGTTTGGCAGATTCTTCTTCAGAATTGCTTTCTGAATCATAGTCAGACCAAGTAACAGTCATTCCTTTCTTTTTCTTCTTAAGAAAGGTAGGACATTCAGCTCGAATATGTCCATATCCTTCACATCCATGGCATTGAATACCTCTGCCTTGGTTTTCCTTATCTTCTGACCTTGGTCTTCTGCTGGAACTGTCAATGTCAGAAGGAATGTTATGAACATTAGACCTTGACTTTGGGTCCATTCTTTTGATGAGCCTGTTGAACTGTCTTCCAAGCATGGCAATGGCTTCTGATATGTTTTCTTCTTCATCCTCCTTGTATTCAACATCAGTGTTGGATACAAGTGCTATGCTTTTGTTCTTCTTGTCACCATTATCAGTGATCCCCGTCTCAAAAGTCTGAAGAGACCCAATAAGTTCATCCACTTTTAACTTGCTAATGTCCTGGGCTTCCTCTATGGCAGTTACCTTCATTGCAAATCTTTTAGGCAAGGATCTGAGAATCTTCCTCACCAGTTTTTCTTCTGACATTTTTTCTCCCAGTGCTCCTGAGGTGTTGGCAATCTCCAAGATGTTCATGTGAAACTCATGAATGGTTTCATCTTCCATCATTTTTAGATTCTCAAACTTAGTGGTCAACATCTGAAGCCTTGACATCTTTACTTTGGAAGTGCCCTCATGAGTAGTTTTGAGGGTGTCCCAAACTTCCTTGGCCAGTTCATATTGATGTACTAGTCTGAAGATGTTTCTATCAATTCCATTGAACAAGGCATTTAAGGCTTTTGAATTTCCCAGAGCTAACTCATCTTCTTCTTTACTCCAATCTTCCTCAGGCTTCAGACTGATTGTCCCATCTCTTTCAGTTATGGTGGGATGTATTCATCCTTTATCAGCAGCTCTCCAAGCCTTTTTGTCCAGAGATTTTAGGAAGGCAATCATACGAGGTTTCCAGTAGTCATAATTAGTTCCATCCAGAATGGGTGGTCTATTTCCAAAAACTCCTTCTTTGTCCATAGTGCCAGAAAGTGATATCCCTAGATCTCACCCAGTAATACAGGCAGGGTGCCTGCTCTGATACCAATTGAAATTCTGGCTACAGATACTCAATGTCACGTCCAATGTTATGACACCGTATCTGACTTACTATATGACAGTAAATACAAAAGCAGTAAATAACACAGTCAATTGTTTACCCAATTCAGTGTGCAACAACACCTACTCTGGGGGCTACCAAGCCAGGGAGAGAATCCACTATAAGAGATGTTAATTCAGGAATAAACCAACCAGTTTATCTCCTTCACTTAAGACCTACCCAATGCAATTCTAATTTAAGTTACAACTTAAACCTGAGTTCCTACTCACTCCCCCTCAATCACAGCAGTGATACATAAACCAATTTGACTTGAGAATTGATGAAGACACTCTTCAAAACACACACTTGATTAAGCTTCACAGCTTTTTAATCAAGTAACACAATCACTCGTGCTTCACAGCTTTGAGTGATGTACACAACTAACTTGACTCTGCTTCACAGCTTTAGTCAAGTAACATTCAAACGCTCTTGCTTCAAAGCTTTGAGTGCTACACAACCCTTACAATTGAAACCTATTCCAAAGCACTTATCACAATGATAATTGCTTGGAGTACAATAAACAAATCTATACATATTACAAAATTGATCTTCTAATCAATCAGCAGGGATCCCTTGAAAAACCGCAGCTCTGTTGAATATATAGCAGCTGCAACTTCAGTTAGGGTTTCCAAAAACCTAGGGTTGATTCCGTTTGACCTAAAGACCAGGTCACAGTACTTTATTGATCAGGTCAGGATTGAGCTAGGTTACTCCTCAGAAAACGCAGGATTCTGTTTAGAAGGGACTGAGTTATTTCCTGAAAAAACTCAGACTTATCCAATCCTGCAATCCTGTTAGTTCAGAACAGGATGTCATAACATCTGTTATGACATCTGAGAAAACCTGTCTACTGATTTAGCAAAATGTGATCATTTTGCAAACATGCTCAGATACACACTTATAAACATCAGTATTTGAATTACAATATTTTTCTGCACATGTACCTATTGAGTTAGTACAACCTGAACTAGAATGTTATGACATCAGTCATGACATTCACACATACACTTGGGATTTACCAAAAATGCAAGCCAATACCTAAACACCTACAACGTTCTTCAAACTAAAAAGTAATCTTCTCCATTATCTTTCTTATATTTTTCATATATGTTCCATGTATGACACTCGTTCTTCTTGAAACAGATTTTTCGATACCTTTTTGGATTATGTTTTCGTTTATGTTAAGATGATGTTAATGCTAGTTTATGTTTTCAAAACATGTTAACATTTTGAAAGTTGTTTCTGTTTCGAAAGCTGTTAACATTTCTTTTTCTACGGAGAAGCAATATAAGAAGTATGAAGCTATTTTGGAAGCTTCATCCACCTTACATTTTTTCTTCATAGCAACACAAATGATTTGTTCAAATCTATTTCAGATCATTCCATGGATCTTTTTAATAAAAGGTATGTTATTGTTGATGTATGTTTTTGTTTTGTTGTTATTGTTCATAAATGGTTAATGTTGTTATTGTTGATAAGTGTATGTTGTTGATGTTGTTGTTGTCATTGCTGATAAATGTTGTTGTTGTTGATGTATGTAGTTGTTATGGAGTTTATTATAATGTATGTAGATTGTTTATTTCACTAACCCTTCATGGAGCATTCATTAATTTAAAATGATTTAGAAAATAATAATTTAAAAATTAAGTTGTATTTGAAATGTAACTTAGATCATTCAATGTTTTTCAAATTACATTCATCTCGTAATTTATCTATTGCTCTTTAATACGTAGAACTTGGTTTATTGCCCCAAGTTCTCCAAAGCAGTGGTTTCTTTCTCTTTTAGTTTATATTGGAAAACATCAAATTTGTTGAGAAATTCTGAATTATCTTCATCGCTGTCATCATAATAATAATAATCATCGATTAAAATGATGATGATAATTCTAAATTAGTCAACATATTGATGTTTTGCAAAATAAACTAGGAATGAACGGTTACTTTGAAGAACTTGGGGCATCAAACCAAATACTATGTGTTAAGTAACAAGAGACGAATTACGGTTTGAATGCAATTTGAAAAATAGTGGTATGTTTAAGTTGACTTTCAAAAATAATTTAATTTTTATAATAAATCTAGGGTATTTTCCATAACAGTTATCTTTTGTAACCGTAGTGAATTGTTAATTATATTCCAAATAAATAGTTGTTGCTGGATTTCGAACCCATAACTTAAATATATATATCATAGCTGTTGTATAATATAACACTTGTGATATGTAGAGTGTTACCAAGCTTATCACCATGGTCGCGTGACCGGTGGAAAACATCATACACACAATCACCCCTTAACTCACAAAAATTGGTCAGGTGTTGTGATATCCCTTTTCAACCGTTTTGATATCACTTTTATGTAGTAGTGATTGTCTATTATAAACTCTTTTTTTGTCTGGTCTATCCTTTTTAAAAGTTTGATTTAACCTAAAAGCTTAATTATAGTCTATTTTACCTATGAAGCCTATATATATATAACTTTGATTCTATCTCTATCTTCACATGACTCTCTCATCTCATTTTTCAATTTTATTTCAATTTCTTTCTCATCAAAAGTGACAAATATCAACCAAGGACACCATATCTTTCCTACCATAAAGGTAGCTGGTCCTTGCCTCACCATATCTTTCCTACAATCTAACTTCACTCTAACTCGGAATCACACATAAATCTTCCATTGAGGATATCTCGGTGCCGCAACTACGCTTAAATCTGACTCTACTGTGCCGAGTGATTACATGTATCCATCTGAGAATTACTATAATATTTTAGCTAATGTTCAAAACTAAATATGTTTCTTCAGTTGCATAAAATCATTATAGAACTCAAAAAACAGAAAGATCATAGGTCAAAAGCATTTATGTTAATGATTGCAGTCCTAAGGGCGGATGGATTGCAGTCATTGTAGTTACTGCGTCGCGCATTGCAGCGTGAATAGTACTTGATTGAGAGACACTCGAATTACATCATAGCAGCGTAAATACCAATAGGCACACAGGATTTTAAATAACACCACAAATGTTGTCTGATATCGTTGCGGAGAGACTACCGCATCAGTAATACTGTAGCCACAATTGCGGATGCGAACCGCAATTTAAAATGATGGTTTGGAAATGAGTTGAAGGATTGAATTCTCTTGGATGTTGTAATCCGCGATGGTGCCGTTGTCATGTAGTTGCTTTTTGGCAAAGATCAGGTTTTGCTGATCCACGGGGATCCCTTCCTTGTTCAAAATCTTCACTTTCACATTGCCTATTGTGTCTGAACTCTCCACCTTCAAGGAGATCATCATCTGTTCAAGCGGTCTATTTATAAAGATTTGTATCTGCAGCACAAGTGTCAATATAACTAATTAATAAGAGCACGGAAACAAAACAAAAACCCCTTACAACCTTTATTATAGTCCCACAAGGAAAAAATATTGAATAACTACAAGAAAATATGTGACTGATATTTCAAGAACACATCCAACAACAACAATTAAAGGTTATTCGCTAGGTGAGATTAAGAAGTTCAAAAAGCATATCAATAACACTAACCACCGGTTTTGGCATTTAAAAATAAATAAACTTGATACAGAATGCTAGACTAAAAAATTGAAACATAACAAGACTTCAATTGGAAAAATACAACCAAAGTAGTGAAAAGGAGGAGATAAAAATACCTCGGGGATTACGAAAACTTTTAAATTGAGAAGTTTGGAAGAGCCAAAATAACCAAATGGAATTAGAAGAAACGGAGGTGAAAGAGTTGTTAAATCAACCCGCTGGACATTCTTTGAGGAGGACTTTAACTTCAGGTTGCATTTTTCGAACCTTGCTGATATAGTATAAGCATACTTGGCCATTGAAAATTTAGGACCGATGAAACAAATATTGATTGCATTTCCGATAACCGTAGTACTATTGTTTAGAATAAATAGTTTCCCATTAGCTTTTTCTTGAAGAACAGTGACTTCATCATTAGATTTCAAGGAGACAATGAAGGAGTGACCATAAGAAAATTTGATTAGAGAATCCCCATGTTTATGGCTGAAATGATTGGACAACAATTCCGATGAGGCAACAAATTCACAACCAGAAAAGGGACAGTAACATGGCTCATAGATGCATTCATCTTCATGTTTCCTCTTATCACTGAAACTTATTGTCTTCTTGCATCCATGTTTTTCATTTGAGCAAGACATCTTGATAGATTGCAATAGATTGTCAAAGGCTCTAAAACTTTTTAAACCAATGCGATTTGAGCACTTGTCACACACTTTCCCAAGTTTATCACAGCATGTAGAGCAAACAATATGACCATTACCACACTGAATTACAATATAAAAGAAAAACATTAAATTACACATTGAACCACTTACTAGAATAAAATAAAATAAGAGATTTCTTTGCTATCAAAACATAACCAACTTAAAACTAATCATTTTCAATTTATTATTCTCAAAATCTATGGACTCAATGGAGGATTGTGGCTGACCTTCCAAAATACTATAGGGGCGGCATAGCTCATAGAAGTTTGGCTACACTATCAAAGTTTTGAAAAACAGTACAAAAAAATAAAAAATAAAATGCATACCAGAAATACGGGAGTACTCAAAGGTTGAAAACAAATGCAGCAATCAAAGACTCGTGGGTCGGAAATCATCACTGAAATGGGACTACTCATATTATCTTCTTTTGCGAATTCAGCGGTCTCTCCGGTGCATGGTTCCATTACACCGTTTAACTGATAGTGATGAAAAATAGTAGTAGTATGTTACAACATCACAACTTGATATAACTAAATAAAAGACGAAGCTGTTAGAGCTACTTACTCAAGTGTTGGCTTTTGGTCTTCTGTGGTCCTCTATTTGCTTTACGCTACCGATTCATTTCCTACGTTTTAAAGGCAACCAAGCACGCATATTCAACAAATAGAAATTCATGTTTACTGTTTACTGTTTATTAATAAGGTTCTATTTCCCGTTGATAGGGGAATAAAATCTATTAATTCGGATAAGCATGTTTCCTATAGTATTTTCTGAATATGTTCTATGCAGGAATTACTTTATCACTGAAGTTCAAATGGTTGGTTTAGTAATAGTTGTTGATATTATTTTGAATATTTGGAAAATTGACAGTTAAAGATAATAAATACAAAATAATATAAAAAATATTCTTAATTAAGAAATGGATAGTTATTATTATTATATTATTAAATTAATTTTTATTTGAAAAAATAAATGTATTAATAAACACATATAAAAAATAATATATATGTAAAATTAAAGTTAACATCAAAGTAAATTTTTTTGCTACCCTTTGTAAACTTAAGGGTAATTTAACTCTTATGATGTGTATCAATTAAATTTTGTCATATAAAATAAAAGTTTAAAATCACATATTGGTCTAAAATCGTACAAAATCAAAATGAAATTAAGAAAATAATATATAATTTGATTTTTGAGTAGAAAGATGTTGGTATGTTAAGTGTGAGTAATAATTATCACATTGGATGAGAAGATATTGAACTTTTTTAAGTGAGAAAATACATAGACTCAATATCTTAAGATTTTGAGTTAATATGTGATTTTAAAAATTAACTTTATACAGTAAAATTTCATTGATATAGATTATTAAAAATAAATTACCTCTAATTTTATAAGGGATAACATATGTCTCACCATTAGACAATTATATATAAATTTTATAATAAAACTTAACAACACACATGAAATAATAGCATTGCATTTTTTAATTCAGTTATATTAATTCAAATTAATAATAAAAATAAATTTATTGTCTAATATGTTATAATAAAACTCCGATGTTGTTACGAATTTCTTTTGTATGGGTTGATCTTCTAGAGTCTAGACATCCTCCCCCCAAACATTTTGTTAACTTGATACTCATCAAACACTCAGAAAATTCATCAAGAGGTATGTAATTTGGATATTGCTTACGAATTAAATATTATATATATATATATATATATATATATATATATATATATATATATATATATATATATATATATATATATATATATATATATATATATATATATATATATATATATATATATATATAGCTAAAAGTTAAACAACACTTATCAAACATGACTTTTTTTTTTATTAAAGTGAGCTAAATATTGATAAGAGTCGGTGAATCTCACGTAGAAGTGGGTCCTTCTTCTTGATTTTGCATGTTGATATCAATAAAAGAATTTGTAGTTTTTTTATGGATTCTCCATCCTCTTTTATGAATGCATCTTTACTCGATTTAAACTTAAATTACCATATAACGGGTTTGAAGAGAGGATGTTCAGGTGCATGAAGATTTCTTCTTCCCAACGACACCTAATAGATTGCAAATTTGTTAAAGTTTAACATTATTGGTGTGAGTACTAGGATAAAGAATCGTCCATGGATCTCTTTTTTAATTGATTTTTTGTGTCACACCCCTCAAAGAATTCCCATAGTGGATAAGGGTTGATTTTATTGTGTTAGACATCCAACATGTTTGCCGCTTATATGGATAGTTGGAAGAATTTTAAGAATAACTTCTTCTATTAAATCTTCAGACTCTAAAGGGTCATTCAGTATTATGTAGGGTCTCGGAGGGAGAATCTACCCCTATCGGCCTTTGTGCCTCCACTTCAATCAAACGTAAAGAGACTTAAAAAATGTTGGGTCTAGAGTCATTTTAACCGGGAATCATACAACTCGTTAACTTCTGAAAAGATGTCAATAAAGGAGGATCTAATAATCTTTTGAGAACACTTATGTTTTTGAAGAAATTAAAGGTCCTTCAGATGTGAGGCCCTTATGCAGGAGAGGCGAACTATCAACTATTGGAAAATAGTGAATACAACTGAGGCTCGGTAAGTAAAGGAATAAACTCTTTGGTGAGGAGGATAGTTTTATTTTACTCCCTTTTGATATTCCTTTAACGTTTGATAATTATCATTCTCTTTTTTGCATATATATTATGGTGTCCGTGCTAAATATTTGTAACTATGATATGCAACCTAAGAAAAGGGAGAATTAAGGTTTCCCGGTTTTTCTCATTCTTGCACTATATTCTTAATTTTCTTCGGATATGATAAAAGATATGTTCTTAGCAATGTAAAGTGTAAAAATTAAAGTGCAGGAAAATAAATGAACACTTGAAATTATTCTAGTTCCCCTTATCAACCAAAGGTACATCTAGTCTCTTCACACGAGGAACAATTTTCCACTATGTTAGATCTTTGTACAAGCCTCACACTAAGATCTCTCTTACAATTATCTAACTTAAACACAAAACATATGGTGGACTTTGAATCTCCCGGAATCAAATAACATTTTCCAATATCATCAAACACTATGATGATTCTCACACAAACCAAAAATTACACTACTTTTTGTCTACAACACTTAGAAAACACACAATTTTCTATTACAGACACTTCTTAGAAAGCACACTACTTTCTTCTACAATTTCTTGTCACCACACCTTGGTGAACAAGTTACAACAATATGATAAAAAGATGGTTTGAGTAACAATGATTTTGGATAATTTCTAATAGTCAGGAATTTGATCTTCCCTTTATAATAAACAATTCACAGTTATATAGAACACAAGGCTATGTTTGCAAGTTTGGAGGGGAGGGGGAAGGAAGGCTTCTGAAAAATGATTTTTTTTTTAAATATAAAAAAATATTTGACATTTTTTGAAAAATTGATTTTGTATAGAACCATAAAATATTGTTTATTATTACTGCATTTTTAATTTCCAGAATATTATAACAACATAAAATATATTTAGAAAATTCATGTAAGCCCCCAAAACCCTCATTCAATATAAATTTTGAGTTTCCCCAAATTAGGGTTTTTTGGTATTATGAAGAAACACAAACCCTCCAAATCTCTCCCAACCAAAATCTTTCTATTTTTTTCACTTAATCCTTTCTATTTTTTAAAGCCCTCTCCTCCCTTCCCCTTCAAACTCCCAAACAAAGCCTAAGTGTTCAAAGTTTTGATGAAAATCTTCTTTGATATATGAAAATTATGTAGAAAAAATTTCAATGAAGTTTGTAATTAAACACTTTAAATTTGAATGAAAAGGTGTAATTTAAAAACTAATGCATTTTGCCTTAAACACATTTTAAGAAACCTCTATGAATAGATGCATGAATTTGAGACATTTCCATGAAAGTTTAAAATAGCTTAGAATAAAAATAATTCATGAAAAGTATTAGATATGTAAATATAGAAAGATTATTATTAGTATTGATTACCAATGATTATTAGAATCATAACCACATATTTGTATTGTGTATATAAATGACTATCACATGAATGAAAAGGCACGGCCTAAATTATCTTACATGGTATCAGTCTTGGTTTGTTCCAAACCCTAAAATCAACCGTAAACCTTCTTCCTTTCTATCCCTCATTCTTTTTCTCTTCAACTACCGCGAAACAGCCATGACTACCACTTCTGATTCCTCTAACAACAACTCTTCCCCGAAATCATCCGGTCATACCGACCCTCCTCCACCACCTACCACTCCTACACCGATTCACCATGCTCTCACTGTCCCAAATATTTTCATCAAGATTACTCTGAGCATTGAAAAGGGCACGTATAACACGTGGTCAGAACTTTTCAAAATCCATGCTCGAGTTTTTCAAGTAATTGACCATATCAATCCCTCTGAAACCAGCCGCAGATCCCTCTCTCAAAACTACCGATCCACAGTTATGGCTTCGTCTCGACGCCGTCGTTTTGCAGTGGATATATGAAACAATCTCCGATGATCTTCTCAACACTATCATCGAACATAATTCCACCGCTGAAATCGCGTGGAATCGCTTATTCGACATCTTTAATGATAACAAGAATTCTAGGGCTCTCTACCTAGAGCAAGAATTTTCGCAAACTCATATGGAGCAATTCTCTGATGCTTCCTCCTACTGTCAGCATCTCAAATCTCTCTCTGATCAACTCGCTAATGTTGGTGCCCCTGTATCGAATGAACGTTTAGTTCTTCAACTCATTTCGGGACTAACCGATGCATATGCTACTGTGGGATCTCAAATTCGTCATGCTGATTCACTTCCTCAGTTCTATAAAGCTCGTTCCATGATCATTTTGGAAGAAACAGCACTGCAGAAAAAGGTGTCAAGCTCAGTCGAAAATTCATCTTTCATGGCGTCTCACAATGACGCATCAGTTAATTCATCGGCATTCCGTCCTAACCGCGGTAACAACAGTAACCACGACCGTGGTGGCTGAAACAATGGCAAAGGACAGCGTGGACGAGGCCGAGGGCGAAACAATGGACGTGGCGGAGGTCGTGCTCCGCAACAGCAATGGCCTTCACCATATTACCTGCATCAGCAGTGGGCTTATCCGCCATACCAAAATCAATAGCAACCATGGGCTACACCACCTTGTCCGTATCCAACAGCAAGAAATTCAAAGGAACAACCCGGCATCCTTGGTCCCAAGCCATCTCATCAAGCTTATGTCGCCAACACAGTACCAACCTCCTCATATGCTCTAAATCAAGCTTATGTCGCCAACACAACGCCAACCTCCTCATATGCTCCAACAGATATTCAAGCTGCCATGCATACTCTCTCACTTTCTACTCCTGATGATCAGTGGTACATGGACACCAGAGCAACCTCGCATATGACGGCCAACAGAGGTAATCTCTCGTCCTATTTCAATATGAGTAATAAT